GGACCACCCACCGTCTGCAGAGAGAGCTCCCCAGGCCCCCGGGGCGTTCGGAGGGGGAACCGGCCGGGCCCTGGGGTCTCCGCAGGTGGGATGCTTGCTGCCTGCAAATGCGGGGCAGCCTTCCCTCAGCCCTCCCCAAACCCAAGGGAGCCACCTTAAGAGCTCTCCCTCCATAGGACCAAACGGGGATCCGCCAGGCGTTTCATATACCATATTCTATAGCCAAGGAAACCTTAACAAAGAGCCGTACGCTCTCACATTTCGCTTCAGGCTTCTCCCTGCTGCAGCTGGGGCTGAGTTTTTTAAAATCTTTGTGTCATTATTTCGTTCCTCTTTTGATTCAGCCATCGAGGGACAAGGAGATGCCAAACGAAAAGAATGGGCATTTAAACAGAACTAGATTGAAGAGGCAGTGTGTGCGCCGAACAACAAGTCTTTTTACATTTCATATGATCTTATACATGGGCTCCATTCAGTATATTTCCCCTCTGTTTCATTTGAATGTACAGAATTAGCCATTCACATTCTCTGGAATTACGGCTCTTTAACATTTCCATTCTGAGCTGCCTCCATATTTTGGGGGTTGGGAGCGTTATTAGCTCAGCTGGGGAAGCACGGGCTGAGGTCAGAGTCGGTCTTGCAGGCTGGAAATGAGCTTTTTCTTTTTTTGGAAAGTGCAAGATTTGATGCTTGATGACTGTGGTCAGAAAAATATACGAGCGCACACAAATATACATATGTGCTGGAGCACGCGTGTGTCTGGTTTCAGCGGAGGAGGGTCTTTTTCACCGTAATCCTGGTGGAGTTGTTTCTTCAGATAGAAAAGGGAGCCTTGGTTTTCCAATGCGGGGTGTGCTCTGCCATCGCCCGGGGTCGTACGCGTGGCCGTGTCCTTGTGCGTGGCTGCTGCCTCATTGTCTTTTTGAAAGACAAATACTGAAAACAAATATTTACCATGTCTATTTACTAAAGCTCCCTGGATACTTGTACAAATTTAGAAGAGTTGGCCCAGAAAACTCCGTCGAACCGAGCTGGGAGTGACAGGAGGAAAGCCAGGAGGGACGTGTGCGTGCAGCTAATCCTTCTGAAAAGCTGGGGAGCCAGCACCTCTGTCCTCAGCAAGCACAGGATGGTGTGGTGGTGACTGTGCACCTTGCAGCCCACGCTGTGTCACCCCAGGGTCCCGCAGCAAGGGAGGAGGCTGGCGTGGGAACATTTCACTTGTCAATCTGGCTTCACTTTTCTGCTGGAGCAGCCAGCCAGTGTTCCTCTGGGGAGTGTCCCACCTTTCCCCAGCATCTACATGCAGGAGGGTGTCTTGTCAGACAGCTGGGATGTGGAAGGGGTGACAACCCACAGAGAGGAGAGGGCAGGACTGCCATGTCTCCTCTGGCCGCTCTGCAACACCTCCGTGCTGCAGAGAGGTGCTTCCCTCGGAGGACCCTGAGGATGTGGATCAAGAGATCCTCGGGGACTGATGTCCTCAAAAGAAATCTCTGCAACCTCTGCTGCCCTTTCTTTCTTGCATTTTGAGCGTTTTCTATCTGTCTGTGGCATCTACATCATCATTTCCACAGGCCACCTTATCTGGTTGTTGTGGAAATGAGGACAAGGTGGCAAACAAGAAACAAGGCCTTCCAACGGGGCAAATAAACCCAGCAAGGCTGAGCATGGTTTGGAAGGTGGCCAGGCTCCCGTTTTCCCCTTTAGCTGGCTTTCTGCAAGGCACAGAGGGCAGGAGGGCAGGCTCAGGGGCTGGGACATCATGCTCTGCAGGTGATTGTGGCCAGTTGACTTTGCTTTAATGCTCAGCATCTGCTGGAGGGGGCTCACCTGGGCCAGGCACAAACCCCAGGTCCCCAGTCGACCACCCCTGAACTGGTCAGACACAATCAGGCTGCAGGCTTTCCCGGAGATCCCTTCAATCACAGCCTCCTGCCTAATTTAACCTGGTTATTTATACCTTTTCCTGTGTGTGTTTAATTATAGTAGAACCTGGCAATACTGCTGTGCTTAACGGTCTGTTGGCGTTTCCATTATGAGCCCAGACTGGAAGGGATTATATAGCCTGAGTGTTTGAACTGAGTCTCAGACAGAGACTTGGCATAGACTTACAGCCCAAATACAAAGATTTTCAATTGGCTGATGGCGGTTTTGAAAAGGCAATATTTTTCACATGCTTAGGCCCTTCCGTGTTGTTAAACTGCCTTCCTCTGTTTTAAACTCAGCAAGCAAGGAGTCGTAATTCAGCCTGTTAGAGCAGTGACTCACGTTTGTTGCACAGCGATGCCGTAACCAGCTGAGGCAAGGCCTTCTGCCTTAAGAGGAATTACACTCAGAAAGGTGACTGGGGAAAGTCATCTTTTTCACTCACCGGGGTCACACCGTCTGTGAGTCCAAAGGGCAGCTGCCGTGGCCAGCACGAGTTGTCTGACCGTATCTCAGGCTCTGCAGTGGAGACATCTAATGTGACTGAGATGTCCCGGACTTCATGAGCAGCCAGCAGCACTTACGGGGCATCAGTTGTTTCATCCTCAAGTACACAACTCAAATAGGTTAGCTTGGTCAAGTCCTAAAGATGTTTTTTTTTTCCCCACCAGCTATATGGGGAGCCTGGGGTAATTAGCTCAGGCAGCAGCATCCACACTGGGGATAGTCTGGTGGCACCAATCCCACTTTGAGGGAGTCTAGAGTAGCTCCCGTGGTGGGATGTGGTGCGTGCATTCATCTCCACAAGATTTTTCCCTAACAGCATGGAAGGCAGAGCAAGAGCAGGGGAAAAGCAATGTCTCCTTTAATGCATGGGAATCTTTGGTAGAGAAGGTTCAAGTGATTTGCCCATGGTCCTACAGCAGGTCAAAGGGAAGCCTTCCTTGGGAGCAAACCTAGATCTGTATTGCTCACTGATGCCTCTGCAATGGTCCTTTCCCCATGTGAATGCATTAAATGAGCAAGTTGATAAAACAAGCAAGGGGATATCATGTGCTGGGAAGAGTTGTAAGTCAAGTTGGCCAGGCACCAGCAAAGAAGAAGAGCTAGTGAATTCAAGAGGAGCTGAGAGCAAAGATCGTGGGTTGCAAACAACCTTTCTCTCCAGAAAGCCTACCTTTGGCTTTGGTGATAGGTGCTCTGTGTCTGTGTCCCAGGGAGAACTGGTCCATCCTTTGCTGTCGTCACCAATCTTTTGCCTTTTGGAGCCTGAGAGGAGGCGAATACCAAACCCCGCTCTCAGCTGACTGAGAAGCAGCAAACCCCAAAGCTGCTGCATTTGCAGCCTGGTCCCAGAGGGATGCCACACAAGGTGCCCTGGCTGCTCCTCCCCTGGAGCTGGGCCCCCACTTCGTTCCCCATCTCAGGGGGTGTTGGAGCTGGGTGCACTCACCCGGGCTGCTCCAGGTGGCTGCACCCCCGGACCCGAGAAGGGCTAGTGGGGACGAGGCAGAGGAGACAGCTCGGTTCCCACCAGGACTGTCACCATGGGAACTTTAGGGACTGAGGCCATTTACGGCTGGTTGTAAACCCTGACTCTGACAGCAAAGGCTTTCTTCGCCTCTTCCTCTGGGCTTGGCCCTGGCTGTCTCAGAGAAAGCAGGCTCACATTTTACCTCCGGCTGGCTCTGCACACACATCCCCTGGCACTGAGTGCTGGCCCGCTGCGTGGGAGCTGCTCGCGCCCAGGGAAGCACTCTGGCTGTCTCTCCCAAGGAAAGTGGAGCAGATGCCCAGGGCTGTGGAGAACTGCAGGTCTGATGGCTCTGCAGACACCTGGGGATGCAGGGGTAGAGAGGTGGTGGGCTCACTTTTTTCCAGTGGAACCGTTGCCCCTTGGAGGAGCTCTCAGATCAGTTTGTGAGGCTAAGGATCTCTGCTAAGGTCTAGCTGCCCTCGGCAGGCTCCTAGCTTTGGGGCTGGAAAGGCTCATCTCTCGGCTTGGCCAATGCTGGCAGTGCTGTGGTGAAGAGACGGAGGAGGAGCTGGCAGGAGCCAGCCTGTGGAGGAGAAGTTGAGGGCAGGAAGACTTCAGCAGCCAAATCTCATCTAGTCCTTCTTCTGATGCCAAATGCTCCTATGAAGCCACTTCTGCTGTGCAGATTCCTAGAACTACCCTGGTTCAGTTGCCCACCTGGTGCTCTTCTAGAGAGGGAGGCTAAAACACAGGGCTGATCAAGAATTGCCCCTTCTCCAGCTGCTCAGCTCCTCTCAAGAAACAAAGTCACACTCACAACTTCTTGATGCGGCTCTGTCTCCTGGGAGCTGCACTCGGGTGGCTCATGCCCATCCTTGCCCTTCCACAGATCCAGCACCCTGGTTGGACTGCAGATCCCACCCGTGTGCCAGGATGCTCTGCTAACAAAATGTGGCGACATGACCATGGTGCCAGATGGGAGCCTGGCATGGCAGGGGAGAGTGTGGCAGAGTAGGGGAGAGCGTGGAAGGGCAAGGCAGAGCATGGCAAGGCAGTGCAGAACCTGGCAGGGCCAAGCTTGAGGACCAGGAGGTGCTTCAGGGTCAGGGCCTGGGTGAGGGAGGGCATTTGGCCAAACTGGATTTTGGGTTTGTGTTAAAAAGTAAAAAACTCCCTGCAGAATCCAAAATCTGCTGTTAAATCAGAATTAAAGGCTCAATACAAAGAAATAGCTCCAACAGATAATCTCCAGCCACTCCGTATAGGAAGCATTTAAGTGGAGAGCTGCTCCTTTTCTCAAAGATGCTTGCATGCACAAACACTCTCCACCACAGGTTTTCCCCACAGCTTGAGGTCCAGCTCTCCCCGTTGTGTCTGCCAGGCCCTGTGACCCCGTCTGCACAGGAAGACATCTCCTGGTGGAGTGACGCACTCAGAATAACATGGACCACTGCTTTCTCCATTCTTCTTCTGCTTCACGCTCCCCGATTTCCATTGCAGATGAGTCACTGGCTGGCACCCCAGCTGGAAGATGGGGGAGTCGCCCCTTGTGCTGCTGACGCAGCCTGAATGCAAACTTTCTGCTCTCATATAGGTATGAAACGAGGAAGAGGAGGTGTGTGTTTCCTGAGAAAAAGTAGTAGGGGTTGTCCTGGGCTTCCTGTGGGATTCTGGAGGAAAAATGAAAAGGTATCACGGCTTTGTGAGTGTAAGTGCATTTTTTTTTTTGATGTGTGGTTTGTTTTTCGTTTGTTTGTTTGTTTTTTTAAATTTTTAACTAAGTGGTAAGAAAATTTTCCTCCTTAAGGGAAAAATAAAGCAAAAGCAGAGACGGGTAAGCATTGACTGCTCATCCGTGGAGAACAGCGGTCCCATGAAAGGCCAGCTAATGTCCATAGACAGCCTGTTTGCATTGGTGCCTGGAGCTAATGAAGTATGACTGTGAAGGGGGCTCTTAATGCTAGTGCAAAGCGAGGCTCACAAGCTTCAAATGTTTGCCTGGATGGTCTCCAAAACTTCTGCCCTCCTTTGGGCTGGAGCTGAGGTCGGAGACCTTGGAGCTGTGAAGATCTCTGTACGGCTGCTTCCAAGCAAAACCAGAGCATCACAATGAAAATAAATAAACAAATGGAGCTATTCTGAGCCTCTGCCACATTGGAAAGTTTCATTTGCACCATACCAAGCAGGATGTGTCGCTCCCTGTTTGGAAGCAATGTCCCGATTTGCAGTTTATCACTTTTCAATGAATTCTCTCCCATGTCTTCAGTGTGGAGCCTGCACACCTCTAGGAGACCCTCAGCTCACGCTTACAGACCTCTGCCATTTCCACTAGCCGGGCAGGACCGTGACATCACGGCGCAGGACTGATTCACCCCCTACTAGGGTGAGCCCTCATAGTGATATTTCCATGATAAGCAGCTTCCCCTTCATGCTTCGTGTTAAGGAAACCTCTTTGCAGATGTGGTTTTGTCCTGACACCCCAAAACATCAGCTCTTACACCCCCTGTGCACCTTTTGGCTGTCACTTCTGCCTGTGATGCTGTCCAAGATCTCTTGGTTTTGCTGGGGCTCTTGCCTCGTTATGTGCTGGTGATACTCAGCAGCTGGCTGGTCCCCTCCTCCCACCCTGCTCCTTGTTTCCTCTGGCTCCCAGGATACCCTGACTTTCTCCAGCACTGCGTCCTTGCAGGGTCCTCTGCGTTCCATCCCTGTGCTGTGCTCTCACTTGGTTGCAGTTCTTCATGCAGACCCCTCATGGAGGCTCACCTTCCTTTCCCCTCCCAGGTCCAGTCCAGTTTTCCTTCAGCCAAATCCCCATCCCAAATCCTCTCTGCTCCCAGCAGCTCCTGTCGGGTCCTTTCTCCACCTGCCCATGTGCGCCTTGCTCAGCTGCCTGGGCCAGGGTGGGAGTGTGAGAGGGTAGGAGCTGCCTAATCTTAGGGAGGGACCAGACTTGCGGTTTGGATCACAGAGATCCACAGCTTTGCTTATCTGGAAATCCTGCTCAGTCTCTGGCTGGAGCACATCCTGAAAGGAGAAAAGTTTCAGGGAATTTAGCCGGTGAGCACTATAAGGCTGTTTTAAGGGAGCACATGTGAACCGGAATATTTCAAAGACTTGGCTAAGTTTGGCGGCAGCAAAGAGTGCATCTGGACGAAACCGAAGACCTTCCTTGCTTCTCCTTTTGCCAAACTTCAAGTCCGCATGCCAAAAACATGCAACTTCAAGAGCTCTTCAAAGAAAAGGTCATCAGATTTCTCTGTAACAAAAGCAAGAGAAACCAAAGTATTTCCCCTTACAATGTTCTTGGAAGCAGATGAATCACTTTGGCTGAAATTATATATTTTATATCTATATTTGTATAGATAGTTCAGCATTAGGCGGCCAACCAACAAGACAAAGTTCAGCCCTAATGGTTTTAGTGTGGCCAAGCCAAAACCGGCTGAAAAGTGGCGCTTGGCATGGGAAGAGTGACGGCATGTTCATGGTGTTTGGCAGGAGCGGACCTACCTGCAGCACCTGTCCCTGTGTCTCTGCTTTCACAAAGCATGTGGTCCTCACGGCAGAGCGAGGAGGAGAGAAGATGCGGGCGTCAGGCATCACAGACCGGTGTGCTGGGAAGTGCAGCTGTGCAAGAAGAGGAGGGCTGCGGGGGCAGGCTGTACCGTTGCTCAGGTCTGTACAGTATCCTCTCCCATTTTTCCGCGGCATGATGAAATGGTGGTTCGCTGGACTCCCTCCTGGTGCTCTGTGGCGTGTCTGCGTTCTGTCAAGCTGGGGAGTCAGCATCCCAAATACAAGTGATGCTGCCCAGGAGTGGGAGGAACCTGTGCTGCAAGGAGACTGGCACTGGGATGTCTAGCCAGGCCACAGCAAACGGCATAGAGCCGCTCCGCAGCAGCGGAGGCTTTAAAGAGGGTGGAAGAAGACCAAAGTCCCCAGTTATCACCACCTGCTGCAGCACTGTGTGTTCAGAGGAGGGTATGGGTGCTGCATCCCTCCTCTCTCTCCAGTATTGCTGCCGTGCCCTGGCACGGGCCACTGCCCTCACCGGTGAGGGAGGTGAGAGGCTGTCCTGGCCGTGGTGTTGCTGCGGTGGGTGCAGGCAGGGCTGGGGAGCAGGGGCTGCGTGTCCTCAGAGGTGCTGGGTTTGCTCTGCTGTCAGAGTCTCCAGTAAGCATGCTTTTTCCTCTGAGCAAGGAGAATCTGGAAGCCCCACTGAGTTGCTGGGGTGTTCTGGGGAGGGGAGAGAATACCCTGAGAGTAAGGGCTCATGGTGCAGCAGCTGCAGTCTTCACAACAGCCTCCTTGCTCCCCACTCTGCCATGTGAAGGGCTCTCCACATCTCCTTGGTGCTCAGCCAGCAGCAAGCTGCGCTTCCCTTTCTGCCCTTCTGCTGGGTCTGTGGCACCAGGCACTCTCTCCCGTTCGGACACCTCTCACCACTTGTGGTATGGACAATCTGAGGAAGGAAGGAGGGAGGAGGGTCATGTCAGAACCTGGATGAGGACATAAATATTTAGACTCAGATTCACAGAAAATAACTTGGTGCTTTACATCTGGATGCTACCAAGATGTGTTGGGTAGCCTCTGAGGTTGGGAGAGTTTGCCCGTTCTTGACTCGGGTGGCTGGTGGGTACTCAGCATGGCTCCGGCGTTGCCGTATCTCCTGCCAGCCTCGGTCATCTTCTGATGTTCCTCAGTCTGCAGCTGATGGAGGCCAGGGTATGTGAGTCAGCGGCCGCCACTGGCCTTCATCCACACGCTCCATTTGGAGCTGCTCTGTGTGTGTGAGAGCACTCCCCTCTCCCAGCTGTGCGTGCCTGCCTGCCAGCGTGCGGCTGATTGAATCCACAGCTGGGCTGGTTTTCACCTCACTTAGAGCTCTGAGAGTCCTGTTCATAGATTAGGGGGAAAGGAGGAGGAGGAAGAGGAGGAGGGAAAATTAAAAATAAATTCATAAACCAACAGAGGGGGAGATGCTTAGTAGAAGGGCACATCCGCTTTCAGAGTTGTTTTCCCCCACAGGCAGTGTGGTGTGTGGTCATCCCCCCTGTGCTCTCACCACCAGCAAGCAGAAGATGCCACCTCTGCACACCTTCCTGGAAGATGAACTGGGGTCCCTGCTGGAAGTCCCCCCTGCATTTACTGGGGGCTGCTACCTCCTCCAGGCACCATGTTGACTCCCCAGAATAATTAAGCCACTGTCTCATGGCTTTGCACCCAGTTCTGCGGCTTCTGGAGCTGCTTCTGCTCTCTCCATGTGGTGAGGAAGGCCACCCATCCTGCAGATAGATGGACTGGACTTTCCTCAGTAAGCACAATCAGCTCTTGACCACACTGTACAGCCCATAGAACACAGACGTGGTGAACAGGGCTGGACAGTCCCTCCAGCAGGAGCTGGCAGCAGCTGCAGAGCTAGGACACAACCTCACAACCCTGCACTCGACAGCCTTCTTCATGGTGCACAGGAGATCTCCAGCTGTGGCACCTTGCAAGGGAACTATAAGACATCCCAATGGGAACAATCCCACATTTCAAGTGGTGTTTAGAGGTAAGTTCTGCTCTTTGCAGTAGGTTGGGGAGGGCCTCAGGGTGGACTGTGCGGGATCCTGATTCCTGTGGCATCCCTGCAGACAGCATAACCCCCAGAGGGTCTTGTGGGTCAGGGGGTGAATTAAGAGACATTTTGGAGAGTTTGAGTGCCATCCTCCTCTCTCCAGTGGGTGCTGGGGACTTGGGTGTGTCAGTCTGAAGCTTTCCTCTGCGTATCAGACAGCTTTGCCAAATGATCTTTACCCCATTGTGCCCCACAAAAACCTGCAACAGGTCATGGCACCCATCACATGGGGTTTTCCAAGGATGAGCAGGACTATGAGAGAAGGGGTGGACCAGCCAAAATGGTACGGGTTGTGCTGCACACTGTCTTGGTTCCCTGTGTTTTATGGTTGATGGATTTGAGGAACACCTCACAGCCTTCAAAATATTGTAGACCCAGTTTTTAAAAGGGGACATTTGGATTTCCTGTCACTTGGCCCTGTTACTCCTGTCTTTTCCCAGGGAACAGCAATGGCCTAAAGCTTGATTGTGCTTTAGCTGTCATGGAGGCAGATCTGTGGGCTCCAAGGGTTCCTCACCTGTGGGACACCTCTGCAAACAAGATCAGACAAGGCACCAGGGATGCAGGTCAAATGGGGACAGAGCAGTGGCTTCCCAGCGAGGGGCTGGGAAGGCTTCAACTTCCTCAGCAGCTGTGAGCCTGCAGATACGGTGCAGAAGGTGCTCAAGGGGTCTGGACCAGTGTTTAAGCAGCCTGGAGTGGAACCAGGCTGACTTCACAGTTTACAGCCAAGGTGTAGGCTGCAGGCAGCGGAAGGTATTTTCCCAGTCTTTCTGGCACTCCCCATTCACAGCTGGAGAAATGCTTTGGATGCAAGAGTCTCCCGGTGAGATGTCAAGCCCATGTGCTCTGTGGGCTGTGCTGGACAGGGGCTTGGGTGTGAGAGACCCATGGCCACAGCAAAGACCCCCTCACTTTTCATCGAGGTGCCCAGGGCAGGGGGGAGAAGGACCTCTCATACCCTGGTCCCAGGCTAAACCCTCGCCCCCAACCCTGCTTATCTGGTAGTCCATGGACTTTCCCCAAATTGCAAAGAGTGGGAGTGATTGTGGCAGATCTTCTCAAATCAGGGACTTTGCCTCCTGGTCTGGGTGTAGGAGGTAAGGTGGTGGCACCCCCTGGCACAAGGCTTTCCTGCCCTGGTGAGGCTGGAAGGTGGGGTGTTCCCCACCTAGTGCTGGGGACAGGCAGGGAGGGGTGGGCTTTGATTGCTTGTAGCACATCTTGTTGGGATGTTCAATAGGGCCTGAGCGTGGACCCCATGGCACCAGCAGGGGAGCAAACATGTGGGCGAAGGAGGGTAGCTGGTGTGTTGGTGGGAGTGGGGAAGGAGTGGTTGGAGAGAGAGGCCCTCCATCCTCTGAGATGCTCAGTGACAGAGAGGGATGCTGAGCATCCCACAGGATAAGCCCTTGAAATGCCAGGAGGGCTTCAGTTCCCCTCAGGCGCTGCATCCTCTGCCATGGTCTCAGAGGCAGCAGTCTGGGGGTGCCTCTGATTGGGACCTTGGGCAGGAGCATCCTTCTCCCTCTCCTACCCCAGCAGAGATGGCTGCCAGGGGGTGCAGGAGGAAGCTGCCAGCTGGGACAAGGGCTGTGGGCAGCAGCTACCAGAGGTGGCTGGGCAGGAAGTCCAGGGAAGGGACAGGGGCAGAGCAGGCAGCATCCCCGGCAGGCTGGCAGCACCCCATTGTGTGCAGAGGACAGAGCTGCAATCACGGGAAGGGAGGGGGACATTGTAGTCCTTGTTCCACTGCCCCCACGCTCTTCAGAGGGAGGCAGGGAGGGTGGGAAATTTGGCCTTACCCCCCTTTGCCCCTGTTTTGAGGGGTAAGAGAGCGCACCGTACCCCACAGGGAGGGGGGCACAGCTGGCACTCCAGCTGAAGAAGCAAGCCTGGGTGCTGGGTAAGGAGTCGGGTCAGCCCCTGGTGCTGAGAGGTCTGGCAGGAGTGGGAGTCCCCCGGCACCCCGAAACTGGGGGGGAACCGCAGATCCCCCCCCACCCCCGTCCCACTGCTCGGCTGGGTGGGGGAGAAATCCAGGCATCCCCCCACCACCACCTGCAGCTCAGCTCCGTCCCCGTCCCGCGTGGGTGTGGGGGGGAAGCACAGTCCCCCCCCGCAGATCCCCCGGCAGCCCCTCCTCCCCACCTGGGAAACAGGCTCCCTTCTCTTCCCGGCCGCTGTGCAGACACCCGGCTTTGCACGTAGCAAATGGAGGCGATTTCCTCCTTCGCGGCAGCACATGGAAAGTATTGAGCCGTGTGTGGTTTGGTTGGTTGGGTTTTTTTTTTTTTTTCCCTTCTCTCCTTCTCTTTTATTTTTTTTTTCTTTTTTTTCCTCCCTTTCCTCGCCCGACACTCTGTCAGCGTGCTGTTGGACACTGTGTTAGAGCTCCCGCTCTTCTCCGCTCCTGTACATCTGCTCCAGGTCATCCTCCACGGTGCTGAATGTCAGGAAATGACTGAATCATACAGCTAGCGCAGCCGGACAGACCCAGGTGGAGCAGGGAGGGAGCAGGGGACATCGGTGGGAATATTGGGAAGCAGGGGTGAAAAAGGAGGCTTTTGGAAGCCGTGGCTTGGCTGAGATCTCTTGTGCTGCTTCTCTCCCAGCAGGGAGAGCTGTGGGGGTCCCCTGTGCTTCTTCCCTCCAGTCTGGTCGGTGTCTTTGGGGTTGGGACACAGGAGTACTTATTCATAGAATCACAGAATGGTTTAGGTTGGAAGGGACCTTACAGGCCATCTAGTTCCACCCCCCTGCCATGGGCAGGGACACCTCCCACTAGACCAGAATGCTACATCCAACCTGGCCTTGAACACTGCCAGGGATGGGGCATCCACAGCTTCTCTGGGCAACCTGTTCCCGTGTGTCACCACGATCGCGATCCATTCCTTCACTTTTCCAATGGAATATTATTTCCCAGTAACCAAGGAAGGTGAAAACACCAGTCAAACCCTGGAGAAGGTCCTTTTGCTCATCCAGCTCTCCATCTGGAGCAAGGCAAGGCAAGGGCAGGCAACAAGCCTGTGTGAAGGGGCAGGACCTGTGCAGGGCACTGGTGGCAGAGCCCAAGGGATATTTATGCATGGGGGTGACTTTGCTCTCGGAAAGGACAGCAGCTAGGTAGGTACAGAACATATGTAGACACCTCTGAGCTAACGGTGCCAATAGTTAGTCACCATGAGGACATGGTCCAGGCTCCGTGCTGGAGGTAAATGACTCATATTGAAGTCTGTGGGACCAGAGCTTTGTTGCTCTTGGCAATCAGGCTGGCTAGATTTAATGATAGGTTGGGTACATCCTTCAGGACTGATAAGAGAGTCCTTCACAGCATGCTGTGCCATTTCTAGAGAGAGCACATATGCTCTCTGGAACCAACATCCTACGAGCCCAAGAGCCCGTCCTCTCCATCAGTACCCTGCCATGTGTTTGAGGGACATACCAATGGAGTTGAGAAACTCACCATGAATTCTTACACAGAGTGGGGAGAAGGGGGGAATTTTTGCACCGAGCAGCTCACCAGCTTGTTTCAGTCCCTGTGCTTTGTCTCCACTCCCCATACCACAGACTGCCCGGGGTGCCTGCCGTGGCCGTTCTGAGTCCTCACGCAGACGTTGCTGGAGGGCAGGGGCATGTGGTGGAGGGGCTGTTTTAGGACATGTTCACAAGGCAAGTGCCTGGGCTGCTGCTATGTTTTACTACCCCGCGTGTCAAGGAGCTCCTCTGTTTCTGCTGATCTGAGCTGGGCAGGTGGAGCACGTCCCTACCCCCAGGTCCTCCTGCTGGTTCCTCTTGCAGGAACCTGCAGCACATGAGGGCCAGAGCAGTGTGTCAGGAGAGGAGGTGGTGGCCCTTCTCTCCACCTGACAGCCCAGTGTTTGTCCTCTGGACCGTTTCCTTCCTCTAAGTGAGCGCCCAAATGACTCATGTTTGAATCCCTTCCCTGCTGCTCAGAGAGCGGGTTGTCCACAGGAACTGCTCTCTGTGCAGACCTTGCACCGTGCCGTCCCTTGGGGCACACTCCCTCTCCTCCCACAGGCTGCTCTCCCCAAGCTGGTTACAAGCTTTCTCTCTTCCCTGGAGTATTCCAAGCCTGTCTCCCAAGATTTTAACACTGTCCAAGTTCTCTTCTTCTGCAAGCTGCAGTCCCACTGTGGCCAGTGCTCGCAAAACTTTGGAGAGCGTGAGGTGTTCGAGAAAGCTGTGGGCCTCCTTAGGCAGAAGACATGGGCAATGTACCATCCTCTCATTGTTTCAGTACTGACCCAACCTCTTGGTGGGGTGGTAGGAGGCCCTGGTGAACACGGGGTGCTGTCTGCTAAACAAACTGCAAAAAGTGGCTGCATCTCACAAGCCGGAAGGATTTTGTTCTCAGAGCATGTGGGGGGTCTTCAGGCAGTGGTACGGGGTTTTCTTTTGTTTCCAGCTCCTCAGTAGCATCCCCAGATGGTATAACCTGGGACGGGCTGATCCAAACAACACCGATGGACTCAGCTCTTGGTGGCCAATGGTGAAAGAGGCAACCATGGTGTGATGGTAGACGCAGCCCATCAGGAGCCAGGGGAGGGCCCAGGAGATGGGGCTAGCCTGGGGGAGGTACCCTGCATCCCGGGAGGTCTGGGCTGGTCCCGCCACCCCTCGCCACCTCCCCTGCGGCAGCACACAGTCCCGTTCTGTCACTCGTGTGCCAGCTCTGCTGTAAGCGTAGGCAGGGACGTACTGAAGTGGGACTAAAGGCTTTGGAGGGAGGAAGCTTTCCTCAGCGTGGCCCTGGCAGTTGGCGTAGAGCGGACCCACCCTGACTTCCAAGCATCCCCATCCCTCAGGATGTGACTGCAGGCCTGTCCCAACACCCAGCGTGTAATGCCGCTCCTCGGTCCTTGGGGTCCCTCCTTGCTTTGCTCTCCATCTGAGAAAGGCTGATCCAGGTC